TAAACAAACTTGAGTTGCAACCCCAAATATTGTCTAGATTCAATTTTATTTGAGGCATCACAAACAACATTGTTGCCCTTTTGAACTTCACCCTATCCACCACCAGATTGCTTTCTCATGTATTCATTGAACAATCTCGTCAATTCTACATAAACCATTTCTCCATATTCTTTTCCCTTCTCTAGACCATATGTACTCCGCAATAAGAATTAAAGAAAATCTAATTTGTGCCTTGGATCAAGCACAATAGCATGGAAAATGTTCTTATTCATGTCATTGGGTTTACACCAATACTTGCAGCACTTTTCTCTCATATTTCCAATCCTTTTAAAAAAATCTACATCTTTCTCCCATCATTTTAAAAGAAATTCAACCTAACAAATTAAGTTGAATACAATAAATTAAAAGTATACATGATACTTTGCAAGTGGTAAAATAAGATATCTAATTTAAATTTATAAGTTTGAAAGACATACCTCATTAATTTCTTAGAAGTACAGATGGCTTGTAAGATAATGGCTATTAGAAATATGCTCAATTAAGAAGTAAAAGTGTTCTAGAAAGTTCACACCCTTCTCACATTCTCCCAATCAATACATGATTGGAATCCGAGTGCATCAGCTCCATAATTTAAAGCTGACCTCATATATTTGTCTTGTCTAACATACCTTAAAAGTTAAAAAAATAAATCAAATATTGGCATATTTTAAAATAAAAATATAACATGAATTTAACTAAATTCAAAATTTGACAATAATAGTAATAACAATTGGAAAAACTATATTTGCCTCTCAAATGCCATGTCAAATTTTTTAGCAATATCTAGCCTCAAATATAAAGAATTCCATCTTGTGGGAACATCTAAACATAATCATTTCTTGGTCTCAATCTCTTCATATTGAGCAACATCCTTGAATGTTTTTAATCTCATAAGGCTTTTGTTGAACATATTTGACAACCCTTATAGCATTCATTGATTGGTTAATATGTTTCTCTTTTATTCTATCACTAACCACTTTGTTGACAATATGAGCTGCACATCTCATTTGCAAATCGTAGGCCTCCAAAATTGTTGTACCCCACTTGGTCAGAGCATTTTTAAGGACTCTAATGGCTCCATCATTGGCTGATGCATTGTTTACAGTTAATGCATATACTGTTTCAATACACCAATCTTTTAAACACCTCTCTAGAAGGTCCCCTAATTCCTTTCCTTTATGATCTCAATGGGGCAAAAGTAGAATTCTTTTTTCTAGGTTACAATTTTCATCAACATAATGTGCAATAAAACACATATAACTAATTCTTTGTAGTGAGTTCCATGTGTCTATGGTAAGTGAAACCCTTTACCCTGATTCCTTAAAGTAATTTTCAAGCTTCAACCTTTCCTCAACATAAACATTAAAGCATTCCCTAGTTATTGACCTTGTAGATAGAACTTTAAAAGTGGGGGGCAAACCAAAGTGGCAAAACAACTTAGACCTTAGTTTTTCAATAACACTAAAAGGTAGCTCATCAAGTATAATCATCTCAATTTATAGCCCTTTTAATGACTCGAGGGCAAACTTCTCAGTGCTTAAGTAAAGCACTTGTTCACCATTTTGTCCCTCAGTATTATAAAGCTTTAGCAAGGTCTAATCTCCACTAAAACTTTGATATTGCCTACAACTTAATAAATGATTTCTCATGAAAGAGGTTCCATTCAAAGCATTAGTAAACAAGGTCTTGTTACAATAGTCACAGGTAGACTTTGTTTTGCTATTATCATCAACAAGTTCAGTAAAATGATTCCAAACCTCAGACCTTCTATTGTTACCTTTCTTCCTTTTCGTACCAATCCTTACATCATTTATGGTCCTCATTCCTCTTATTTGAGCTTGATAAGGCTTTTGGGAAGAATTACACATTTGCACATTAGCATTATCATGTTTTAACTGATGATCATCAATGATATGCATGTCTACATCTAACACCAAAGGTCATGCAAGTTTAACTTATCTACTTTGAACTTTAGCCAATCTATCATCAATATAAAATTATCAACAAAAAAGTCTTGTGAGTACTTGCTCTTCAGTTAGTATTCTGCCTTTTTACCATATCCAAACTTGCAACAATCCAACTCAAATAGGAAAACTGAAATGGTTAGATAAATCAACTAATAGTTAGGGTTATTGATAAAATTTAGAAAATTGACTTAGGCATTTAGACAAAAATATGGCTAATTATGAATCTTTAGTGAAATGTATAAGAATTTGAGGTAACATATCTTCTAGAGTTAGTATAAAAGATTGAGACTCATGTATCATACCTATTGAATGAATGCAAATCAAGATT